GGTTTCTTTTTCGTAACGAAAAGGAGGGAGCATAGACTGAAAAGGAGACATGGATGTAACTTCAAAGATATGAACACACCAGTGGGTAATAAATATTTATAAAATAAGACATGGGCATTAGACCATTAGCCTGCCACATGCGCCTTCCACAAAATGATATATGGAAGACAAAGCTGTGATAAAGAAATGCAGAGTAAAGTAATAGAGGGCCTAAAATTAGAATCATGTAGATTTTCAAGTTTATTCCAAAAAAGGAGGAGGGAGGGGAAAGATGAAGGATTTTTCAAACTAAACACAACTGTTTCACATCTTCTTTTTTTCTTTGTTTCTTCCCATTTTTTAATTTCCCTCAACTTCCAGGCTTTGTTCCTTTGTCTTATAGCACATTATTATTTTCAATATGACAAAAGATGTATTTTTATGCCAAATTTTTGATACATTTATAAAAGAAAATGAAAGACAGACCCCTGACTGAAAGAAGATGCATAAGTTTGCTCAGGACTATAACATACTCCATCCACCATTTTCATTTAACCCCTTCACTGACAGACTGCAACCTATGCATAGTGATTGATGGGGTAGATGCATAGACTAACATCTTTGCAAAAGTGGTGCTGTTGCTTTAAGTTCCTAGAGAAACCGTTCATATCAAAGGAAACTGAAGATTTTCCTGGTACAGTTAGAAATATGGAAATATGGCAGTCAGATATATATGTCAAAGGCTTCTTGGAACTGGGGCTCCTACCTGGGCATTCTGCTATGGTTTCATTTATCTTCATCGGTGGTGGCTGCAGTGATCCCTCACAGTCGAGGATGATCACTCTTACATGTTAAATAAAGAGTTCTAAATGAGTCCACTGATGGCTAAAAAGGCTAATCCTAGAGTTACAGACTCTCTGGCAAACACCACAGATAATGGTTAAAGGAAGGATCTGACAATGACTTGTTTCCTTTCCTTCCATTTCTGTGTTTTTTCTGCCTCCAGGGAGAGATGGTTTTCCTCAAAGTAAGATGTACCTTCTCACACAAGGCATTGCCATATAGCCCTGTCCCAGGCTAGTTTTTCCCAATTTATGGTGTCAATGCCACACTTTATGGGCTAGAGACAGACATTACATATAAACTGGTTTAGGTGATCAGAAACTGGTTTAAACCTGTGGCAGAACAGAAGTTCACTGCACAGAAACCAGTTTGAAAATGGCTGAAATTGGTTTGAGATAAACCTGGTTGAATGTAATATCAGACTTAACTGATTTGAGTCAAACCAGTTTATGCAATGTCTGTCCCACACCCCTTGCTGGTTTAAGTTAAATCAGAGTCCCCCAGCATCCCAGATGCTTTGCAGCCCTGGTCAGGGCTCTGCTCTCTGTTCCTCTGCTCCCTGGTTGCAGCTCCAGCAGAGATGGCAGGTACAGCTGCGTCTGCCTGGCTTCCTCCTGTTCCCCCAACACCTCCCCCTCACCACTCCCTGCTCAAGCAGGGATTCCCTCCCCCACCCCCCTCTGCCTTACACAGACACCTCTCAGCATTAGGTAGCAGACCACCTCCTGGTTATGGTTCATGTTGTGGGAGACAGGACAAAGGCAAACAGGACAGTGTCACCATAGGGCTTTTTGGAGCTAATCAACACGTAGCTGGTAATGTCCCTCCCTTCCTTCCTTGGAAACAGTTGTTTAAGAAGAATTTGAACTAATGAGAGAAGCTTTTGTTTTGTTTGATGGGCTGATAAATCCTAACAACTTCCTGTGTGACTCCCTGCTGTGTAACTCAATGCTCTGTTATTAACAGGCATGTGCATACTGTGCCCTGTCCAATGCAGCTGATGTTGTATGGTATGGTCTCATTATTGGTGTATGGAACTGGCCCTGAAGTGTATCCTCAAGTTTGTTCTCAGCATAGAATCAGAAAATTAGGGTTGGAAGGGACCCCAGGAGGTCATCTAGTCCAACCCCCTGCTCAAAGCAGGACCATCCCCAACTACATCATCCCAACCAAATCTTTGTTTAGCCAGATCTTGAAGACTTCCAAGGATGGAGCTTCCACCACCTCTCTGGGTAACTTGTTCCAGTATATTACTACCCTTCTAGTGAGAAAATTCTTCTGAATATCTAACCTAAACTTCCCTTGCTGCAACTTGAGACCATTGCTTCTTGTTCTGCCATCTGCCACCACTGAGAACAGCATAGCTCCATCCTCTTTGGAACCCCCCTTCAGGTAGTTAAAGGCTGCTATGTCATGTCCCTCCTCTGTCTTCTCTTCTCTAGACTAAATAAGCCCAGCTCCTTCAGTCTTTCCTCATACGTTATGTCCCCCAGCTCCCTCACCATTTTTATTGCCCTCCGCTGGTTTCTCTCCAATTTGTCCACATCCTTTCTGAAGTGGGGGACCCAAAACTGAAGGTAAACTCCAGATGTGGCCTCACCAGTGCTGAATAGAAGGGAACAATCACTTCCTTTGACCTACTGGCAACACACCTACTAATGCAGCCCAGTATGCCATTAGCCTTCTTGGCAACAAGAGCACACTGCTGGCTCATACTGAGTTTATTGTCCACTGTAACCCCCAGGTCCTTTTGTGTGTCCAGTAATGTTTTTACTGTTTTTTCCTCTTGTTAACTCTGCCAGCCTGCTACAAAGATTAAGCTGTATTCTCTTGCATCTTGTTTATCATCAAGAAAACCATTTACTAATCTCTAGTCATTTATATCTATAAAAGCTCACTGAATGCAATAGTATTAGCAGGTGTCAACAAGGACATTATTTGAAGACAACAGGGCTGCACAAATAGACAAAGTAGTTACAATTTAGGAAGGCCTAAATTGGCTTGGAGTATCCGATGATCATGTGCCAGTGGAAAGAACACAGCTGGAATTTCAAAACCCAGTGAGTTTGCAGGGTTGGCAGTTACAAAAGACAGTTTCTTCCTTATAAAATGAGCACTTTTGATATAGAAACAATTGACAGACAAATATAGAACTCAGCAAAGCCATTTTTACACTCACTTTTCAAAGCAATACCACACTTAAATGCACAATTGAACATAATAGCATTCTTAAACTAAACAAAAGAATAAAGATGTTAAAGGATAGGTGCAAAAGAAGTGACTCAGAGGCTTAAATTCTAATTTTAGCTAGCCAGAGTAAATCCAGAGTAATTGTATTAGGATTATTCCTAATTTACACCAATCACACTAAAATCACAATGGAGCCAGCAGAGAAAAGGGAAAGAGTTTTTTTAGAATGGTAAACAGAATTGTAGCCACCATACATAATGAAGAACAGCGGGAGGAAGAACTTCAGTTAGTGACACAACCACTCACTGTCACTCTGGTGAGGCCAGGTGATCACAAAACTGCCTTAAGAGGGCAGATGAGGATTCTTTCCACTAAGTGTTAGGGTGGAAGAGAAGGGAGGACCAGAACGTGCTACCTTCTAGCGCATGCACCCCCTGAGAGCTCTGGTGCATGCCCTGTCAGGCCGCACTCCCCTGTGAGTGCTGGCTGGGGAGTGCGAGTGCTGGATGTAGGCTGTGGCCACCCCGGGAAGCACCACGGCCACTTCCGGGAGTGCCATGGCCACTTCCGGGAGCAGTGTGGCTGCTCACCAGTTGGTAAGTTTTGCCATGGGGAGACCACCCCCAGTTGGCGTTAGCAGCTGCGGTTCCCCCCCCCCCCCCACTGTGG